TGTCATTTTGAAAAGTAAGACAGAGTTTGATCGCAAGATGATGGTTGATGCTGAAAAATGACATGCCCGTTTACTTTCCTTGCTTGGCTTCTTCAACAACACTGTTAGCTTGGATTACATCAGACCTTGAATCACTTTCTGAAATAAGTGCTAAGTGGTTAAGAACATAATAGTATGTTTTTGTAAAACATACTATAATAGTATGTTTTTGTAAAACATACTGTTATTGCTGGCATTCTGAACTCTCTCACAACCTCACGGTTAAAAATCTCATGCTGCCTTAAGGCCTTCATAAAAGCAGAGTATTATTGTTGTTTTGGGGAATTAACTAGTAAATAAACAAAAGATCTACCTACTATTTAAAGTTTTTTCTGGAACACAGAAGAGTAAGTTAAGGTTTTACACTGTATACATATATACACGCACTCTACTATAGAGTATATATACCATCTAGTATAGTATATATAAGTATTCTATAGTATAAAGCAATAACATCTTGATTAATATTAGCCTATAAACTGTTTAGATAGCTTGTATTCACTACTGTTCAGGCCGGCTAGATTCAGGCCAGTTCAGTTTTAGTCTCATTCTAACCTTGATCCTGTAACTCCAAACGCTACTTCCATTCCCTGTGTGATACCATCAGCTGTCCCAGATTCCATGTCATGTCAGCAAAATGAACACACGGTTTTCTGTTCTGCACGAGTCTGGCATACGCTGACTCTTGCGAGGCTCCATCAGCTAGCATGGTAATAAACCTCAACATCTGTATGCGTTTCAGAGCTATTTCATTTAGAGACGTTTTAGTTGCCTCCATCAAGTATTTTGGTCCACAGATGTTGAAGTGGTTTGTTACATGTTAGATCTGTATAGTAATCTAGTTTACTGATCGTTTCTCAGTAACAGAAGTGGTACAAGAACACCATAACCTTCCAAATCTCCTCATTCCACATTTAATGGAGAAATAATAATTTGTGGGATCTTTGAGATTTTCAAATTCTGGTTAATTTTATAAAACTGCTATGTAAGTGAATGGTTCAGCAATCCCTCCAGTGATGGTGTTACTATAAGAATTTCCATGAAGGGAAACACAGAAGGATTATCTGATAAATGTTGGTGGTCTCCAGTTATTTTTTAAGCTGACACTGTTCACTGGATGTGCATTTTACTTTGTTCTGTTTTATTAAATAGTAAGCCTTAAAAATAACTTGCAATTTTGGTTTGCAAACCTAATGGCTTGGTTTAAGTGACAGCAAAATTAAATTGGCCACTCTGAGGCATAACGAAGTAGTAGGAAGGGACCATCTGCCTCCCCACACCAAATGAAATGTTACTTAGCAGCACAGTATGTAATTATATAGTCAAAGAATAGTTGGGGTTGGCAGGCACCTCTGGAGATCCTCTAGTCCAACCCCCCTGCTCAAGCAGGGTCCCCTAGAGCAGGTTGCCCAGGACTGTGCCGAGTCAGGTTTTTGGTATCTCCAAGGGCAGAGACTCTGCAACGTCTCTGGGCAACCTGTTCTAGTATTTGATTATCCTAAGAGTAAAAAAGTTTCTCCTTTTTTTTTTTTTTTTTTTACATTTCTTATAGTTTAAGATTACTCTAATTTGCTTTAATTCAAAACTCTGGCACAATTACAGTTCTTCCATTCCTTGCCTCTGAAAACAGGGAAAAAACAACACTACCTGTGAAGTACCTGGTGTGGCCCCAGGTCTTGCAACTTTATTTTTACACATAATGTTACGTTGCACTTCTTTACAGTTTGGAAGGCTGTGAAAGCCACCTTTACCAATGTAGATAGGAAATTACACTACTAGTTCCTTTCCTAGTAAATAAAATTGGAGGAGAAAGGCTTCTTCCAATCTCTTACCCTACCACTCAGACTTTTAATAAGAAGACGAATAATGATTTATTTAAACTGAGGTTCAAGTTTGCATGTGTTTAGCATTTTCTCAGTTCTACCTCTTTATTCAAAGACATTTATTGTCAACAAATGGTGCTTAAACCCACTGCCTACCTTTCAAAAGGTTGTTCCCTACTGGCGGTATATTCCAGCTCCTTCCCGTTATCAGTTTTGTGTTGGCTTTCTCCTCTCTACCTTTACTCTGCAGGTAGTGACATTACAATGTGTAAATTGTACGTGTACTGATGTGTACCAAACAGCTACATGTCTGAAGCCTTACTGTGAAACTCCGCTAGATAGGAAGAGAAGCATTTTATGAACGCTTTAATTTGTATAGATGCAGGTAATACACTAGAGAACAAAGCTCTTTGGCATTATGTGCAGGTGTGGCTAAAATAAAGTGAGCAGTCCTCAAGATGGTGTCAGATTCTTATTTACAGTGAGACTGATTCCTTTTAGGCCGACTTTACAGTCCACTTGGGAGCCATTTAGCCCACATCTAGTGTGTATATATACACGTTCATGTACACACAAACATCCTAGGCTTAAAAGATTAGACAGTAGCTCTGAGCAGAGATTAAACCACAGTAAGGAAGCATCCGAATATTGTATTAGAGGCATGTACATATGAAAGCAATTACAAAGCTTAAGCTCTGGGAGCACATTTTAAACACTTCACCCTTGGGCTGTGTAACTCTGCCTTCTCCAGATGTAAAAGGTCCAGAATCAAAATGTGCATACTACTTAAAACCTTGACAGATGTAAATAACTAAAAATAAGGGAATGATAGGGTTAACATATCATGATAGATGTTTTCTCCATGCACATTTGAAGTTATAGTTTCCAGAATGCTTGAAGGTCTTATGAACACCTATCACCACCAGCCTGCACAGGAAAAAAGGCAAAGAACAGATGGCAACATTTTAGTGTTTGAATTAAAGATAAATTTAGTGTCAAAAGGGAATTGCTATTGTTTCAGAAGCAGGGCTTTCTATTTATTCTTCTCTAACTCCAGACTTCTAGCAGTACAATTTTGGAAAATTGCATTGTTCTTAAACGTGCTCCTTTTTTGAATATAAAGGATTTAATTTTTTTATGTAAATATGAAAAAATATCACACAGAGAGAACACACAGTGCTGCAAATTAAGCAAAAATTTAAAGTTTAAGCAGCCTCAAAAATAAAGACTTTGAGCCTGCCAATATTACTTCCTTTTTCACTGGATCCATCAGTCAAATGCATGAGGTTAGCACAACTATGAGCATTTGCAAGACTGAAGCCAGCAGATCAGCCTTAATACAAGGTCTGTACCAGCTGCATTGCATGAGAAAATTCTGTAGTATATGAAATATACTATAAAATGCAGCAACGCTTGTTAAAAAATATGCAGCATACATAATATGCAACAGCTACACACAGAGCTGTGAGATTTTTTTCCTCCTAATTTCCCTTATGCAAGTTTTAGGACAAAATTATGAGTCATATAAAGGATAGTATACTACAAGTGAAGCGCTATGCTTCACAACTTCAAGATAATCTGTTAAAATAAAACAAAAGTCGTATGTTTTAATAGTCATTTGGAGTCATGTTTGTTTCTAAACCGTTTATCTTCAAGGAGTATGTATAAAATATATATACTAACTGTATATTAAATGTTTATTTACCAATATGCTGGAAGAGATTTTTACAATCTCCTCTTCTTTGTTTCACTGAAACATTATATTTTAGTGGAATAGGTACTTGACTGAAAACTAGACTTCAAAGGTTTCTTTGGCATCTGTAAGACCAGCACAGCAAAGTCAAAAATTTGATGTACTGTTTGCAGAAACTTCCAAGAGAATTGCAAGCTGAACTAGCTATGTTAGCAGGAATCCTGGAAACTGTACATTTGAGTTCACAATATTAAATATGAGGCAGCTAATTATACTTTTGGGAAAGGCAGCATCTGAGTCATAGAACTTTTGACCGACTCTTAAAATGTTTTCTACGATATAATCTGTGGTATACCACATATCTAGTTTGAAAATAAAACCAGAAAGTTATTCATTTTGAAAAAGCTGCTAAGGGCTGTAATCTACAGTATGAGCTCTAGAACCAGTGTAAGTCTCCTCTATCAGCTGCCTGCTTCAAAAATGCAGATGTGTGTGTGTGTAGACCAGGACACCTATATCATACGGTCTTTTGAGATGGAAATTTATTTAATAGCTTTTTAAGAGCTTTCTATCCCAGAGACATATTGGGCAATCATCAGTTCCCCGGGAGGAACGAGTGGTATCAAAAAGTGTTACAATTTTTGCATAGCATAAAGAGATGGACATGACCATCCCTGCCAAATTTCACTCATTTAGAGAGAGTCTCCCTCATTTTAGCCTAATCTCAAGGCACTTGCAAAATCTCCCACTCATACAATGAAGCATTTTAATGAGACATGAGGAAACAGCTAACTCAGAATATTTTTTAATTTGCAGTCACTCAGAGTGGCGCAGGCTGGCAGCCTCCGGGGTCGCACGGTGCAATGCTTCCAGCAGGTAACCCGTGGGAAAGGAGGGGAGGGAGGTACCTGCACGGGCAGGAGGGAGGTCCCCGAGCAGCCAGGCAAGAGCGTCCCGGGATGCTGCAGCTCAGCCAGAGGCAGCTGGGGAGCACCGGTCCTCTCCCCTCACCGATGCACGTTTCCCCAGCCACGTTACACAGATTATCCCAAACAGCCATCCGTCAAAGGACACGGGGATACACATACCTCAAATATTTACGGTGCCTGCACTTGGAGGAATGAGACAGTTCGCTCACATCTGTGAACAGGCCACTTTTAAAACATCAAAATAAACCATCTGGCTGCACAACTGTTTCTAATTACTTCCCTGCCTAGACTGTAAACTTCGGGGTTTGGCACCGGCCTCCTTCCCAGAGCGCTGCCCAAATCCAGCTCCCAGGCAGCTAATCAGAGCTGCTGCAGCACGGGGGGAGCAGCCCTGGAGCCGGGCTCAACCGGCTCGGAGCTCTCTGCACGCCCAGCGGGTCCATCCGTCCGTCCGTCCGTCCGTGGGTCTGCTGCAGGAGCGCTCCAGGTGCGTCACGGCTCGGCGTGGCTTGGACCATGTACGCCCAGGGGCTGCTGGGGCTGGTGGTGCTGCTGGCCACCTCGCTGCCCTGTCTGCTGCCAGCTGCGCCTCCGGCCGCCCCCCTGGCCCTGCGGTAAGTGCGGCTCCAAAGCTACCCTGGGGGGGTTGCAATCACTCGGCAAGTTGCCATGAGCGTAGAGGTGGGGCTGAGGAGGGAGCGATGAAGTGGTTTGCAAACTGTTCTTCTGCCTGCTCAAAAGTCACACGGCGACGAGGTGTGTTGTGTACTGAGAACCTGAATAGGTCTCATGCAAACCGCAGATTTTTTGCAGAGATGTATTTTGTGTCCCACATGCAGATCTGTAATGCAGTGAAGGGGGAAAGGTGAAAAGTGGGATGCTGATAACTCTTTATGCCCAAACCTTGAAATTCTGCTGCCTAAGTAGAGCAGAAGTCTAACCACAAAATCTCGTACGTTCCTGCACTGTGGTGCAATAGCACAGTGAGGCACACTTTCCTGTTGCTCTTTTCCTCCACCATTGCCAACACATGTCTGCTCCAGCAGCTCTTTTGCTCCAAAGCCCACAAAATCTAGTGTCTGAGAAGTGCAGATATTAGTAATCTGGATCCTCAGTATTCCCTAGCCTTGCGAACACCTATTTTTGGCGCTTAGCCTTGACCAATCCTTTATTCTGTTATCCTACATCCCAGTTCCTGGTAAGACAACATGTGATCTGCCCTGTGTGTTCTGCGTATCCTGATCTGTGCGTTCCAGTGCGTGGCACAACTGCATGGCAGAGCTGCAAATGTTCATATTAGCATCTAGATTCTGCTGGATTTCGTCAAACCACAGCCACAGACTATACCATTGCATGAAAATCAATGATTATTTCTCTTTCCTCTTCTGACGAAAACATAAAAGCCATATATCTGATAACTAGAAGAAAGCAAAAGGATTACTTTGGCAAATATATTATATTTGAATCAGCTTTTGCTTTGCTTTTTGATATCACACATTCCAGTTCTGCTACCTAGAAGTCTGAATTATATGTGTCTCTTTTCTAAACCTATTAGAATAATTCAGATCAAAATGATTCTTAATCAAACTATACATGTGTACACATGTATACCTACATATGCATAATGAAAAAGAGGATGAGCTTAATGTAGTTTTGCAAAGTAATTAAAATACAACATATGCGTTCCCCCAGGTGTGAATGAGATTTCTGATGAAAGGGAAGAAAATTGGGTGATTTGAGGCAAGTAGTATCTTCACAATCATAAATAAACCTGTGACACTACAAACAGTTTTCCGTGGTATGGCTAAAGCCTTGGCAGCAGTGGTGGTTTCATCAGGTCAAGCTCTTCCCAGCTGTAAGCTGCAGCACCTGGCTTTGACTGCAGCTTGTTCTCTTTGCTGTCCTCTGCAGGAGCAGTTTGGGTAGTCCTTCCTCGTGCCCACTGTCCCGGGCTGAGTCAGAGCTCAGGTGCCGTGTCCCAGGGGGAAAGCTGTGCAGTGGCAGAGGCAGATGCGATTGTGGAGTCTGCACCTGCCAAGTGACTGAATCCGGCAAATACTATGGTCCGCTATGTGAGTGCCATGACTGGGTGTGTGAGATCTATGACGGGAAGACCTGTGCAGGTAAGGAAGCCACAGTAAGTTGGAGACTTCTCTAGTGTCCTCAAGCAGGCAGGGTCCTGGCATCTCCATGCCTTCCTTGCTTATGGCTAATAGCTTCCTATAGTGACTGAAGCTTTAGAAAATCAAGAACATGTGTTATAACTGAAAATATGTTGGTAATACAGCACACTGCTATAGTAGAGACGTAGTTATGCGTTTGCTCCTGAGCCGTGACTCTAAATGGGTTTGTTGACAAATCTAAGGATTTCACCAGGTTAAAGAATACAAGTCAAGGCATAAGATGGGACTCTGTCCAGAATGAACTTCATCTGCAGAAAGGGCAAAACTAGGAGATGCTTTTGGTTGGAGGCTCTGCTAACTGTGCTTTGAATGCAATTAAGTGACCCAATTCTGCCTGCTTTTCTCGCGTACTATTGCTGCATTTTGACTGCTCACATAATAATAGCATGCAGCATTTACCAATGCTGTAAACTAGCTCTGGACAATCAAATTTTCCTTGCAATTTTTGTCTTCTCCTGCCATGAGGAAGAAGGCTGACTGCAGCACATATCATCACATGGAGGGTTTCCTATGAGGGTGTATAAATAAGAAAACTTTATTTTTTTCCAAGTGCTATTCAAACAGAGACTAAAATCAGTCTAATTGCATTGTGGTTTCAGAGATCTGTCTATTGACCCTGTATCGTGGGACAAGTTTAGCCCTTTCCAGTTGTTGGAACATGTCACTTAGTTTGCATCTAAACATTATCACTCTTTCATCCTTCCAGCTGTCTTTACTTAAGTTTCTGGGCTATTTTTGTCATATTTTGGATTTTTTGTAAGCAACTGTAGAATAGGATTTTAGAAAAGAGCAGAGAGAAGAAATGCCATCACATTCCTAAGGGGATTTGGTCTGGAGCTTGATGAAAGGAGCCATAAGGGCACTTCATTTCTAGTGTCCCTGCTTAAACAGCTTTACCAGATTCACACAAACGTGTCAACTTTTCAGGCCAAAAACTGCAATTAGGTCAATGGGAATGTTACAGGAATTCTGCTAGTAAGAGGATAATACAAATGCATTCCAGCAGTGGGTTTGGCAAATTCTGTAGGAAAAAGAGCAACTTATTTCAGCAACAGTGTAGTTAAGAATAAGAAGTCCAATAATAACATGAAAAGATCAAGAATGGGATTATAAGAAAAATATTTGTATTTGGCACCTATGACTGTAGAGTTTTGTGCAGAAACTGATCTGTAGGCTCTCTACAATGATGTCCAGCTACGTAAGTAATATTGGAGGTCAACTGGTCACTTCAGTGCTTTGTGGTCCTACAGGTGAATTTTCTGCTTGATGTTGTGATTGTCTCTGGGGCAATTTTTTGAAAGCTCCTCTGATTTTAATATTCTACTACCAATTCTACTTTTATAAAGTTTTATACCTGCTTAATTTCGCTGTTAATGTCATGAGCAGTGGCTGAAAGTTTTGTCAGAGCTTTGGTGGGAAGGGGTTCTGGCAGTATAAACGAAACTGAGAGACTTCTAACGCTAATTTTTAGAATTTGTGTTGCACATCATGCAGCAGTTTAAAGATGTGAACATTAACTGATTAATTGTTTTTAAAAAACAATTTTTCTAGTTGTCACCTTTTCTTGCTGGAATACTGAAACTATGATGATACCCCTGAGATGTCAAATCATTTAAATTCACTTCACTGGAAAAAAAACCCATATAAATTTCAGTGCAAAGCTGAGGAGGGAAATAGCTGTTAAGGTTTTGCTTGTTTGATTTATTTTTTTATTAACATTGCTGAAGGTCTAGCTGAATTTTTTGGAGTTCAGGGTTGCTCACTATTTCAGGAAAGCAAGCCTCAGATAACTTCTTCAAGGCTGAGCAGCAGGATCTAAACTGGAACTGTGGAACTCCTAGCCAAAAAAATCCAGGGCAAAGTTGCAGAAGCACTGCCCTGTCGTAACGTTAGCATCAGTATGTACTGATCCTGAAAGACCAACATGATTGCCTTTCTTTTCCTTTCCACGCTGTGGTCTCCTATGGCAGATCAGAGAAATGTTTTCAGTATTTCGGTTTTAATACATCAGTTCTGCTTGTATGTATGCCAAGTATGGGGAATTTCACAATATTGTTTTCTTATCCAGAAAGCAAACTTTGCACTGGTATATATTTTTATATATTTGCACTGACATATACATTTGCAGTGTAATATTGCTATTACATTCATTACAGTACTCTGTGTGAATCTACCACTTAGCATTCAGACAAAGTTTGCATGTCTCTTTCACCACTCTTCTGAGGCAAATCACATGTATTTTCGTATAAAGAACAATTCTGTGCTGGCTGTGACTGACCATTCAGTGAAATACGCCTTCTGGTGTTTCTTAATGTTAAGCCACCACGCTGATTGCCCATATGCCACACACTTTCTTTTCTTTGTAACCTTGAGCAAATCTTTCGACTCTGTGATGAAACTGAATTTCGTTTAGGTGAAGAGCCAAAATGTATTACTACAGTTCTATTCCTGTTTTCTTTTTCATTTTTTCTATTTTTAATTTGATGTTTACTGCATTATTTAGTTGGTATTCCCTCCGGCTGAGTACAATAACAATAACTGCATAGCAGTACCACATGCAGACCTTTGAGATACTAATTGAATATTCCTCTAGAGAGCTGTGGGATCTGAGATTGATACCGCTTCAAACAAGCTACTTTTCAACCTGCCAGAATGATGCCTTTTCCAAGTGACTGATGTCTAATCACTGGTGATGCAGGTATTCAGAGCTGGACAGCCACAGTTGCTTGTGTCACTAGTGCCAAAGATAACTGTGTTACCCTGTCAGTCAATCGATATATACCTTCATTTCCCTCTCTCGTCCCCAGCAAAACAAAATACTTAGTTGCTCAATAGATAGCTCATTATCTTCAAGGCACTTTCTCAGTCAGATCCACCTTCTGGACCAGTAGCTGGACAGCCATATTCTGAAGAGGGAAGGCCTGAGGGATAGAAGAAATTTCCATCTGTTTATGATTTGCTTTTTCTCATCACCTTATATAAACAACAGAAAAGAGATTATGCTATGACTAATAAAGAAGAGCAATTTTGAATGTCTCAGTCTTTTTACTCTCTTTTGAGACTTGTCTGCTGTACTTCCCTTTCATAATGTTTCCAGATGCTTTGGAGAGAATTTTTTTTTTTTTTTGCCTTTTATCTCACTGAGATTGATAAAGCAGTAGATGATTTCTCATGGAGTTAATAACAAAGCAGATGAGAGAAATGAAGTGCTGTAGTCTGAGTCATTGAGTGCCCTGCCTTCCTCGGTGGTCTTTTCTTCTGCCTGCTTTGCGCTCTTCATGGAGTGTAGAGGAAAGAAGAGCAGAGTTCTGGTACTGTAATTCTGTTTGCAACGTTGGTGATATCTTTATTTTGTCATTTGCTTCTGATCTTTAAGGAAGAGATGAGCTCCGAGATAGATGATTGCAATATGCTGAATCAAAATCCCAAAGGATTTATGCTTCATTCACGGCAAACAATTTACTTATTGCTGTTTACTTGCAAAAAGTAGTTTTGACTTCAGCCAGTTTTGTATTGCCTCAGTGCTTTCTTAGCAGTACTGGAATCCACATTATGTACAGGGAAAAATGGAATGTAGCAGTAATATGTATCAAAGAGCCACTTGATACCTATTTTTCTGTGCTTTTGCAGTATATAGGAAAATATGTAGTGATATTTGAGTGAATTTTTTTTCTTTAGTTAACCTTTTTATGTGCCTGTGTTTAATGAAGATTGAAGAAGGAAGCTAAAGTTAAACTTTCATGGCCACTTGAAGTGGTCACTGCTATTTCAGTTAAAGTGCCACAAAGTGAACACTCTAGATGTTCTGAGAGAATGGATCACAGAAGCTGTCAACTGGAGCATGAGACAGTATGATTTTTGCTTTTGTTAATGAGAACAAGGGACAGATACTATTCTGTGACAGCAAAAAAAAAAGTACAAAGTAAGAAAATGGCTCTTTTTTTCTCACAACTACGCTGATTGTTTTTCCATAGTTATTAAGATTTATAATTTCTCCCCTTCCAAACTGAAATACTTCTTGTAGCTCCTGAATAATAGTAACACTGCATGATTTACTGCTGCCATAATCCATTGCTGTGGGAATTTCATTGTCTCCCTTGATGCCAGTGACAGATTTTTCTGTCTCTTTCTCTAAAGCTATGGGTGCTTTAAGTGCACTACCTATTTTAAGACTAGGTCAGAAATTTAGTGGTAGTGTTCATTGTAGGTTTATGCAGCCAGAAGTGTTGTAATAGTTATGTGAACAGAAAAATATCAAAAGAAAAATATCAGTGCAATTATTTTCAACTCGGTAAGGTTTCAGGATATAAGCTAACTTCTGTTGAGAAAACAAGTGAAAAGTTGAATTGACAAGGAGTAGATGTAGAAATACGAGATAAATCCAAATTAAAGCATTGTTGTAATATGTAGTTATGCATGCATGTAAGTTCATTAGATGTGGGCTCCTACCTAGCAGGTGGAAGAGGGTTAGATAATTAAGCATGGAATTTTGAGAATGTTTTGAGCTGAGGTCTGCTCTTTGCATGAAAGCTGCAATCTTTTTTAGGTTGAGCTGTGTTACTTCAGCTGGAAGTGCTCTACTGAGCACTTGTATTCCTATTGAGTTGAGGTCTGAAATGCTGATTTTTCACTGAGCAACATTTCTTGCTAAAGGCATGTAGAAAAGCCAGTCTTTGACCTGCATTGGTTGCCATTTGACCTGGACTGAAATTTAAAGTCCTGGATTTAGACAGAACAGGTCTAAATCTTTTCTGTATCAAAGACCCTATCTGCCAAGATTCAGCTGTGGGACGTGATCATTTGAGACACAGCCTCTTAAAATGACTAAATTAAAAATAGGACAGGAGGCTACTGATAAAAATGGAAGTCAATTGGTTTGCCTTAGTCTGGATTTTTGAACTTGGCTTCAAGTGACATTTCCTCCTGGATCAGAGGTTTGT